CACGGCTGCATTTATTTGATCAAAAATACAGGAAAAAATTTAATATTGTGAAATATTATTATGATTTTTTAATGCATTTTAATATACATTAAAATGTAATGTATTTCTGTGATGCGCAGCTGTATTTTCAGCATCATTACTCCAGTCTTCAGTGTCACATGATCTTCAGAAATCATTCTAATATGCTGATTTATTATCAGTGCTGGAAACTGTTGTGCTGCTTAATTTATAAATTTTTTTGGAAGCTGTGATACTTTTTTTAGGATTCTTTGATGAATAAAAAGTTAAAAAGAAGAGCATTTATTTAAAATAGAAATCTTTTCTAACAATATACACTACAGTTCAACAGTTTGGGTTCACTACATTTTTATTCTTTCTTTTTTTTGGTAAAAATTTAGATAATTCGGAGATTTGTGTATATAATGATAATCTTTACTGTAAAATTTGTTTTAACTAATACTTTTATATAGTGAAAAATAAAAGTCCCTGCATGTTCCATTATTGTTTTTTGTTTTTGTTTTTTTTAATTAAAAAAAAAATAGTTCGTTTTAATTTAATATTTGGTGTATTGGGGTGATTTGTTATATTTGCCCACAAGTTATTTATTTATTAATCTTTATAATATATTTTAAATCTTTATATTTCTGATGTTTCAAATTGTCACTATATTTACTAACAATTCCCTAAAAAAGAAAATTATCATTCTCGCTTCATGTCTTTCCAAACCTTTTAATTTTGTGTGTGTTTAGTTCTGTACATTACAGTGTTTTGTTACATTTGCCCGCAGCTGTTTGTTTTTATTTATGTATTCATTTAATTTTTTAACTGGCTTAAATTAAAACCTGTACAATAAAATTTTTTATATTTCAAAGTTTCACTACACTCACTAATTCATTAATAATTCACCGGGAAAAATAATAACATTCGGAGACCATCGTAAAAACTTTTTGTTTATTCTTATTTTTTTTGTTAAGTTTTGTATATTGGGGTGTTTTATATTTGCCTGCAGCTATGTATTTGTTTTCATTGTATGTTTTTTGTTTACTGCCATTACCAACATTTTTAGAATAATATTTTGAATATTTCAAAATTTCACTCAATTCTTCCAAAAAAGACAATTCTGTCATTTACTCAACCCTCATGTCATTTCACACTATGTGCTGTTATTTTATCTGTGGAAAACAACAAGAGAATCTTCATTTCTGTAAATCTTTATGCTACGCATTTGCATTAAATAACAGTTTTTATTGTTTGGTAATCTCCAAAAAGATCTTGTACAGAGCAGAGCTGCATGATTTCCAATGCACCAGTTTCTGAATCGGAATGCAGATGTGAAAAAGAAGATTATCAGTGAATAATGACCAAATTTTTTTAAATGCCTTTTTGGAGCTTGACAGATGCAGAAAAGGTATACAGATCAGATCTGCCTGTTTGCAGTGCATTCGTGGAGTGTGTGAGTGTGTGTGTACATCATGTCTCCGTCAGTAAGACTATCTGCTCACTGAAGCACTAAACTGGGTAGCAGCTGTTGTGTTGGATCAGTGCGAGAGCCACGAGTCAGGAGCGCCGGATCATTATAAACACACTCTCTTCATCTTTTGGCGGGTAATTCAGGAAAGAAGCGATGGCCCGTAAATATAGCAGCAAAGAGTATCTGTCAGTCAAGGACCTGGAGAAAGTTTTGGACTCGTGTAAGTTAAACTTGCACCAAATCGATGAGGTCTGGCCAAACCTGTACATCGGCAACGTGTAAGTATACAAGCTGCTTGACTGTTGGCTTTGACAGCTAGAAGTCATATTTATACTGTTTTGGCTTTTTAAAGCAGACCTCACAACACTGAGATCAACAGACCACTTTAAACTATACGTTCACAAAACATTTTACTTCCATAAACTGATGCATTACCAAGTGAAATAGAATTTTCAACAAGACTAAATAAGGCAGAAGATTTTATCCATAAGCAATTGATTGGATGGTGAAAACTGGACGCTTTAAACTAGAATCAGGGTTATTATAGTTAACTAAAACTAAAACGTTAACTGAAATAAATTAAAATATTTAAAAATGATATATTTATTTTTATAAAATTAAATATATTTTTAATAATTTTAAATTATTTCTTGATTTATTTTTTAAATAATAATGACTAAATTAATTAAATAAATGAAATTATTATTTTATTTTAGCTAGTTGCCAAGTATTTCTCATTTTTCTGTAGTTTAACTTCAAGTAGTGAAATAACTAAAACTAAACTATCGCCGTTTCCAAAAAAATATTTGGCAGCACAACTGTTGATAATTCTAATAATAAATCAGCATATTAGAATGATTTCTGAAGATCATGTGACACTTTATACTGGAGTAATGATGCTGATGGAAATTCAGCTTTGCATCACAGAAACAAATTATTTTAAAGGATATTAAAATAGAAACTATAATTTTATATTGTAATAACATTTTGCAAGATACTGTTTTTTTTTTTTTCTTCAGTATTTTTGATCAAATAAATGCAGCCTTGATGAGCAGAAGGGAGTTCTTTAAAAAACATCACAAGTCTCACTGATCCCAAACTTTTGAACGGTATATATGTATAAAAAACAAAAACTAATCTACATGCATACAAGTCTTATTTTAGTATCAATATTATTGTATAGTTTTTATTGATGTTTTAAGTGTTTATTTTAATATTCTGTTTTCATTTAAATTTAAGTTTTAGTAATTTTGTGTGTTGTCATTTTTCTATACACCATTTTTAATAAGTTTATATTAGTACATAAAGTTAAAGTAAATTAAAATGATTTTACTTTCAGTTTTAGTTGACTATATGATTTCTCCTTCATAATCATACACCACATTAATCTCTCAGCAGCATTATTTGAACCAAAGTCAGGTCAGATACTTATTTTCTAGATGCTCTGGGGCCCGTCTGATGTTTCAACAGCTGTATATTTCTGATCTGCAGGTCTGTGGCTAATGATGGGTTCAGTGTGTGGAAGCTGGGCATCACTCGCGTCCTGAACGCCGCTCATGGAAAGATGCACTGCCACGAGTTTTACGGCTCAACAGTCAATTATTAGGAGTCCCAGCCGATGATTCTCCATCATTCAGCTTGTCAGTTTTTCACCCCTGCACTGATTATATCAGAGGTTCTCCGTTCTCCAGGAGGTCAAACCATTTACTGTCTCTTCTTGAGTTTTCTTGAAAATGTAGGTCTGCAAACTGAATATTGCTCTGTTCGACCAAGCTTAAATCCTTAAACACAAGCTGAGATGGTAAGATTTAATGCTTAAAAGCTATATAGATCTAAAATGTCCTGTTGTTGTCTGCAGAGCGTGTTCTGGTTCAATGCGCGGCCGGTGTGAGTCGCTCGGCGTCTCTGGTTCTGGCTCATCTCATGATACACCAGCATCTTTCTCTACTGGAGGCTATTAAAGCGGTCAAACCGCACTGCTGGATCTTCCCAAACTGAGGCTTTCTCAAACAGCTGCGGGCTCTGCATGTGACTCCACACCGTACGGAACGCAACATTCTGTACATAAACACCAACAACATTCCAGCATCACCAGCCTGTGTGAGACCGTCTTTAATAAAGGGGTTTTGCAGCACTGCCAGAAGAACCTTTTCAGTGAACAGTTCTTAAAAGAACCATTTTTTTTTTAGTGTGAAGATTATTTTAGTCATCTAAAGAACATTTTTCCACTATAAAGATTTACCTTTTGTTTCATGGATGTTAAAGGTTCTTTATGGAACCATCAATGACAATAAAGAACCTTTGTTTGTACGAGTGTACGGGAGATGTTAGCACACCTCAAGTCTCATGTTTTAGAAGTAAAATGTAATGAATTACTTAATAATTTTACAGTTAACTTTATATTTATGTATTCATTTAATTTTTTAACTGGCTTAAATTAAAACCTGTACAATAAAATTTTTTATATTTCAAAGTTTCACTACACTCACTAATTCATTAATAATTCACCGGGAAAAATAATAACATTCGGAGACCATCGTAAAAACTTTTTGTTTATTCTTTTTTTTTTTTTTAAGTTTTGTATATTGGGGTGTTTTATATTTGCCTGCAGCTATGTATTTGTTTTCATTGTATGTTTTTTGTTTACTGCCATTACCAACATTTTTAGAATAATATTTTGAATATTTCAAAATTTCACTCAATTCTTCCAAAAAAGACAATTCTGTCATTTACTCAACCCTCATGTCATTTCACACTATGTGCTGTTATTTTATCTGTGGAAAACAACAAGAGAATCTTCATTTCTGTAAATCTTTATGCTACGCATTTGCATTAAATAACAGTTTTTATTGTTTGGTAATCTCCAAAAAGATCTTGTACAGAGCAGAGCTGCATGATTTCCAATGCACCAGTTTCTGAATCGGAATGCAGATGTGAAAAAGAAGATTATCAGTGAATAATGACCAAATTTTTTTAAATGCCTTTTTGGAGCTTGACAGATGCAGAAAAGGTATACAGATCAGATCTGCCTGTTTGCAGTGCATTCGTGGAGTGTGTGAGTGTGTGTGTACATCATGTCTCCGTCAGTAAGACTATCTGCTCACTGAAGCACTAAACTGGGTAGCAGCTGTTGTGTTGGATCAGTGCGAGAGCCACGAGTCAGGAGCGCCGGATCATTATAAACACACTCTCTTCATCTTTTGGCGGGTAATTCAGGAAAGAAGCGATGGCCCGTAAATATAGCAGCAAAGAGTATCTGTCAGTCAAGGACCTGGAGAAAGTTTTGGACTCGTGTAAGTTAAACTTGCACCAAATCGATGAGGTCTGGCCAAACCTGTACATCGGCAACGTGTAAGTATACAAGCTGCTTGACTGTTGGCTTTGACAGCTAGAAGTCATATTTATACTGTTTTGGCTTTTTAAAGCAGACCTCACAACACTGAGATCAACAGACCACTTTAAACTATACGTTCACAAAACATTTTACTTCCATAAACTGATGCATTACCAAGTGAAATAGAATTTTCAACAAGACTAAATAAGGCAGAAGATTTTATCCATAAGCAATTGATTGGATGGTGAAAACTGGACGCTTTAAACTAGAATCAGGGTTATTATAGTTAACTAAAACTAAAACGTTAACTGAAATAAATTAAAATATTTAAAAATGATATATTTATTTTTATAAAATTAAATATATTTTTAATAATTTTAAATTATTTCTTGATTTATTTTTTAAATAATAATGACTAAATTAATTAAATAAATGAAATTATTATTTTATTTTAGCTAGTTGCCAAGTATTTCTCATTTTTCTGTAGTTTAACTTCAAGTAGTGAAATAACTAAAACTAAACTAAAACCAATACATTTAAAATTAACAAAACATATATATATACATATTTTTTAAAAACTAATAAAAATTACAAAAGCACATACATACACACACAAATACAATTTTACTAAAATTAAAAATAATAAAAATAAAATCTTATTCATATTATTTCAAATTATACTAAAATAACACTTGACTAGAATGGAGGTGAAATTTGGGTGAACTCTTCCTTAAAGAAAGCAAACCTGGTCAATTGTGACTTTGATATGTGACCATACAGGTTGCAATCTCCTGTCATTTCTAATCATCTTCTGATGATGTATTTATCATTTTCCCGTCAGAGGAATAGCGCAGAACCGAAGCGCCCTGCAGAACCTCGGCATCACTCACATTCTGAACGCCGCTCACACCAAGAGAGGAAGCATCGGGGACCAGAACTACTACGGCACTAGTTTTGTGTACTGCGGGATCCCCGCTGACGACTCCACACACTTCGATTTGGACGTTTACTTCAAACCGGCAGCAGAATTCATTCATAAAGCTCTCAACACTCCTGATGGTAAGAAGAAATCACTTTAAATCACTGAAGAATTCACTAGTAGAAGTAAAACAGCTTGTGCACTACAGTCTTGACCCTAATGACTTTCTGAGCATGCTCCTGGACTTACTGTGTATGATTAATCAGTGCACGATATTACAAATAAAAAGTCTACATAATCTTCCATAAAAATGTAATTGCTCTGCCTCTGTAAAGACTTTTATTTTCAGGTGACGTGGTGTAGGTTATATGTGTTAACCAATAGCCAAATAGCAATTTAAGCACTCTAAATTCGGCAATCATACAGTATCAAATAATTTTTTTTTGTATTTATTTAGTTTTTTGGAATACGTGGAGATTCTCTGGAGGATGAACTTAAACTTCAGCCTCTACATTCAGGTCAAAAATTCTGATAAGAAAAGTTTAAGGAGAAAATCAAGTCTTGTCCTACATTTTGTCAGCGTTGAATGTTTCACTCGCAATATATTACTGAAATAAAATGGGTTGCAAATGCTTTTTTATTTGTTGCAAAAAGTAGTTTTGGGTTGTTTTCTAGTGAAAATATCAAGACATGTTAATTCAAGATAAATTTGCACTTTACACACTACTATTCAAAAGTTTGGAGGTCAGAAATTTTTTTTTCTTTAAAGACATTTATACTTTTATACAACAAGGATGCATTAAATTGATCGAAAGTGACAGTAAAGACATTTATAATGTTACAAAAGATTTCTATTTCAAATAAATGCTGTTCTTTTGAACTTTCTATTCATCCTGAAAAATAAAATGTATCAGTTTGCACAAAAATATTGTGCAGCACAACTGTTTTCAACATTGATAATAATCAGAAATGTTTCTTGAGCAGCAAATCAGCATATTAGAATGATTTCTGAAGATCATGTGACACTGAAGACTGGAGTAATGATGCTGAAAATACAGCTTTGATCACAGAAATAAATTACAGTTTAACAGATATTCACATAGAAAACAGCTGTTTTGAATTGTAATAATATTTCACAATTTTTACTCTCAATTAAACGCAGCCTTCTTTCAAAAAAAGCATTACAGCATGAGGCTGAAGAGTTTTACTCACTGAAGGTCGTGTTGCTGGACTCGAGGTGTGTCTCGTCTGCAGTGTCTGTAGAAACAGCTGTATTAATAGCAGTGAGCTCAAGGCCATCAAATGAATCATTGCAATGAATTGTGGGTTTTATTTTTACCAGCAAGGAACTGGCAAGAATGAGAGGCTTCTGTCACGTCTTCTATTAAAACCATAAAGTCCGTTTGTAACCAGATCTTTGCCTTCCACCTTAGGAAAAGTTCTGGTGCACTGCATCATGGGAATGAGCCGCTCCTCGTCGCTGGTGCTGGCGTACCTGATGCTCTATCACGACATGCCTCTGCACGCGGCCATACGGCGCATCATCCAGAAACGAGCCATCTATCCCAACAGAAACTTCCTGGCTCTGCTGCTGGACCTGGACCTGCAGAGGAAGAAGAAGCACAGACGATGTGTCCTGCTGTGAGCAAACAACTACAGGACTGATCACGTGATGAACGATCACGACACCGCGTCCTAACCAGGCCACATGTGACAAGTGCTTTGATTCTCCACACTGAACGCGAAAACATAAATGCAATCAATATGTGATGCTTACAGTAATGTGGAGCTGGAATTTGGACCAATGAGATTTGATTGTGGGCGGAGCTTATGCAAAAGGAAAAGTTATTTTTTCTCCTAAAGGAATAGTTTACCCAAAAATGAAAATTTGTTGAATATGTTCTCACCCTCGCAGTGAAAAAGTGCATCTCCTGTTGTCTCTCACATCAAAATCCACTGACGTATATGTTTAGAGCTGTTTGGCTTGTAAACACTGCGTGATCTGTGCAGATTTCTATCCTGATTCAGATGAAATGGCTTTTTCACTGGAGGAAGCGTTATTATGGATTATGAACTCGTATTTGAGTTAAAAACGTCTTAATGCTGGATTAGTTTCAGCTTTTGTCTTCTCCAGATGTTAACTGATGGACTGGAGTGCTGTGGATTACTTGTGGATTATTGTGATGTTTTTATCAGCTGTTTGGACTCTCATTCTGACGGCACCCATTCACTGCAGAGCATCCATTGCTGAGACACTGATGCAATGCTACATTTCTCCAAATCTGATGAAGAAACAAACTCATCTACAGCTCGGATGGCCTGAGGATGAGCACATTTTCAGCAAATGTTCATGTTTGGGTGAACTATTCATTTAAATAAAATTTTTTATATGTATGCTTATCATACACAAATACTGGTTGATATAGTCCATTTTAACTAGATTGTTTTATATTTACATATATCTAGTTAAAAATGCAGACTATGGCAACCAATATTTGTGTGTTAAGCATAGCTCAGTCTCCTCTATTATCACACAGAGTTGTGCCCTATGTAGAGTGTTAAATCAGTCACTTATTAGGGATGGTTAGGATAATAGACTGCTAAGAGTCGATGAAGAGGCTTCCAGGATCCACTGAAGATGCAGAGATATCTGACATGTCTGTTCAGTTAATATTTCAGTGGATTTTGGGTAAATACTGTGAATTCTGACTGCAGTTGAAAGGCTTGAACATGCACTTCATATGCAAACAAATCTATGCACTTACAGTATAAGAGTAAATACAGTATGATACAGAGAGATAGTCAGTGAAATTGAAAAGGGTTTGCTATAAATCTGTGATTAAAAAGACAAAACAGACAAACAGATATATCATGCAGGTTGACTAAACTCGTGCCAAGGGGCAGTTTAGTAATCTCCATTGCTGAGACACTGATGCAATGCTACATTTCTCCAAATCTGATGAAGAAACAAACTCATCCTAATCTTGGAAGACCTGAGGGTGAGAACATTTTCAGCAAATGTTCATGTTTGGGTGAACTATTCATTTAAATAAAAAATTTAATATGTATGCTTATCATAAACAAATACTGGTTGATATAATCCATTTTAACTAGATTGTTTTATATTTACATATATCTAGTTAAAAATGCAGACTATTGCAACCAATATTTGTGTGTTAAGCATATCTCAGTCTCCTCTGTTATCACACAGAGTTGTGCCCTATGTAGAGTGTTAAATCAGTCCCTTATTAGGGATGGTTAGGATAATAGACGGCTAAGAGTCGATGAAGAGGCTTCCAGGATCCACTGAAGATGCAGAGATATCTGACATGTCTGTTCAGTTAATATTTCAGTGGATTTTGGGTAAATACTGTGAATTCTGACTGCAGTTGAAAGGCTTGAACATGCACTTCATATGCAAACAAATCTATGCACTTACAGTATAAGAGTAAATACAGTATGATACAGAGAGATAGTCAGTGAAATTGAAAAGGGTTTGCTATAAATCTGTGATTAAAAACAAAAAGCAAACAAACAGATATATCATGCAAGTTGACTAAACTCATGCCAAGGGGCAGTTTAGTAATAATTTCTTCACTCACACATGTATAATCACCTCACAAACACAACACACTACCTCCAGTAAATGTACAGCAGACTCTGGACCATCACACACTACATACAACAGGACCAAAACACCACAGATTCACACAGTGTGACAGATACTGTACATTAAAGTAGGTCACTCATTTTAAAAGCTTAAAATAAATATTTTAAAAAATGACATCGTGTTGCTTTATCAATTATTTGAAGTGAGAATTTACAGTCTAATACAATGACTAAATATTTTAATATTAATTTTAACATTTTAGACAAACATTATGAAAACAAACACCTTTTCCTTAAGAATATGTGCTAAGTCTGTTTTATTTATCGATCATATTGTCTCTGTACAGCACTTTGGTCAACTTGGGATGTTTTTAAATTCTTTTTAATATAAATAAATGAATATTTTATGTTTTAAATATAAATGAAATGAAAATGAGAATAACATGCACTGATTAATTCTATTATAATGTATTAAAGTAAATGAAGTCCATTATGATTTCATGTTGACTTGATATTTTACTGTACATTTTATTTCTGATTTTCTGTACGCAAGTGAGTTAATTTGATTTGCTGCACAGCTGCTTTTTATTTTTTTAATAAGCTCTTTATTTAATTCAACATATATATAGGCCCTACACTGCTGTTCAAAAGTTTGGGAACAGTAAGATTTTAAATGTTTTTTTAAAGTCCCTTATTCTCATCAAGGCTACATTTTTTTTTAATCAAAAATGCAGAAAAAAACTGTAATATTGTGTAAAATGCAAAATAATTTTTTTTTATTTTAATATACTTTAAACTGTAATTTATTCCTGTGATCAAAGCTGTATTTTCAGCATCATTACTCCAGTCTTCAGTGTCACATGAGCTTCAGAAATCATTCTAATATGCTGATTTATTATCAATGTTGGAAACAGTTTTTGCTGCTTCATATTTTCAGGATTCTTTGATGAATAAAAAGAACAACATTAATTCAAAATATAAATCTTTTGTAACAATAAACACTACCGTTCAAAAGCTTGGAGTCAGTACATTTTTTTCTTTCTTTTTTTGAAAGAAGTTAATACTTTTATTCAGCAAGGATGCGTTAAATTGATAAAAAGTGATGGTAAAGACTTTTAGAAAAGATTTCTATTTTGAATAAATGCTGTTCATTTGAACTTTTTCTTCATCAAAGATTCCCGAAAAATAAAATGTATCATGGTTTCCACAAAAATAATGTTTCCAACATTGATAATAAATCAGCATATTAGAATGATTTCTGAAGATCATGTGACACTGAAGACTGGAGTAATGATGCTGAAAATACAGCTTTGATCACAGAAATAAATTACATTTTAAAGTATATTGAAATAGAAAATGGTTATTTTAAATTATAATATTTTTTACTGTTTTTATCCAGTATTTTTGATCAAATAAATGCAGCCTTGATGAGCAGAAGCGACCTCTATATATATTTATAATTAAACAAACTATTTATTAAAAATAAAAAGCAGCTATCCAGCAAAGCAAATGAAGTCCCTTGTGTTGAGACTGAAGTGTTGACTTTGAGAGCTGATGTATTTTTATCTTGCCGCTGTGGGAATGAGCTTGTCTAATTTAAGACGCTGTTACTCGGACACACACGAGGGCGACTGCAGCGTGTGGAAATGAGCAGAATCGTCCCTCTGTCTGGATTCGGGTTAGAATCACAGGATCTTCTCACCAGAGGATCTTATATGGTTTCTTCTGCTCCCTGGTGCTTCCAGATCAGGACCCCTGAAGAAAGAGTGTTTAGAACAGCATGAATCAGATTATACAGTATATATAAATAGATAAAGTCATCAGCGTGTCTTCCGACAGGCTTCAACAACATGTCATACACACACACACACACACACACACTGACGAGCTGTTCCTCAACACACCGTGAGTCTGTTTGTGCTTGAAAATCTGTTTTAGATTCATTCAAATAGATTCCTATACTACTAATGATATATATGCATTGGTTATATTGAGGTATGTTGATTAATATTTGATTTGCAATGTGTAAAGCTGTTGGGTTAGTAGAATAAGTTGACAAAGAAAGTGTTAGAAGATATTAAGCAGACAGTCTACTAATACTCTACTAACTGCTAGTTGACATGTAGTTGCAAAGTTACTTGCTGTTAATAGAATGTCTAAAGTGGACTATCGAAATAAAGTGTTACCGAGACTTTTAATATCACATTTTTGAAAATACGTAAATGTGTTAGTTGAGTTGAATAATCACCATAAGCATTGGTTATGCTCATACATAATATAGTGAACCGTTATAGAATATGCAACTTATGAGTGTATGTATTTGTATTTTAGTTTCACACCATTCATGTGATAAAGTTACACTCTCAACATCACCTGGATAAGTAAATGTGGGTTCAACGAGGCCAGTACAACGACAGCTTAAAGTAATTATTCAAGCAAAAATAAAAACGTACCTTTGTGTTATGTGACTTTCTTTTTTTTCATGGGACATAAAATAAGATGAGTTTTGCAGAATGTCCGAGCTGGTGTTTCCCATAAATTCAAGGTGTACAGTGGGCTATCAGGCTGTCAAAAGGACAAAATAGCATAGTATATTCTTCTGTCAAACAACACATTTCATATTCAAACTTGTCACGATTGGTGACAACATACATGAGAACCAAAGGTACCTGCTTCAAACCCCATAAATGTAATTTTACAGCAAATGAAACTGACACAAATCTAACAGCACAAGAGTCTTATTGACTGCTGTTATGGCTTTCCTTTGGTCTTTTTGTGAGTAATTCTTGGATGGCCTAAGAGAACAAGAACCGTTCAATTCTTCTCCTCTGTCACTGAGCAGCGGCGGTGGGCCGATAATGCCCCGTCTGATGGCTGACGGTGGGAACCAGACTCCTCCAGCCTCTGAGCTTCAGAGACTCCTGTGGGTCAAACCCGGAGCCAGCGGCCATCTGGACGAGGTCAGGCCTGGAATATGCATCGGAGACATGTAAGAAAACCCCCCCGTATCTGTCAGGAGAACTAGTCTGATGACAGGCTTCAGTATGAGACAAATCTTCCACATTCTATCTAACATATTCACTCTTAAAAATAAAGGTGCTTCACGATGCCATAGAAGAGCCTTTTTGTCTAAATGGTTCCATAAAGAACCTTTAACATCTGAAGAACCTTTCTGTTTCACAAAAGTTTCTTTGTGGCGAAAGAAGGT